AAAGGTCATACACCACAATCAAGTCGAATTTATTCCAGGGATGCAGGGATGGTTTAACATCCATAAATCAATCAATGTGATACACCACATTAACAAAATGAAGAATAAAAATCACATGATCATCTCAAGAGATGCAGAGAAAGCATTTGATAAGATCCAATATCCATTTATTATAAAAATTCTCAATAAAATGGGTGTAGAAGGAAAGTACCACAAAATAATAAAGCCCATATATGACAAACCCACAGCCAGCATCATACATAGTGGTAAAAAACTGAAAGCCCTTCCTCTGAGAACAGGAACAAGACAAGGATGCCCACTCTCTCCAGGCTTATTCAACATAGTACTGGAAGTTTTAGCCAGAGTAATTAGGTAAGAAAAACAAATAAAGGAATCTGAATTGGAAGGGCAAAAATGAACCTCTCACTATTTGTGGATGACATTAGTCTATATATAGAAAACCCTAAAGAATCCACCAAAAAAGTGTTATAAACAGTCAACAACTACAGCAAAGTTGCAGGGTACAAAATCAACATACAAAAATCAGTGGCATTTCTCTATGCTAATAACGAACTAGCAGAAAGAGAAATGAAGACTACAATCACATTTATAATCACAACAAAAAGAGTAAAATACCTATAAGTTTAACCAAGGAATGAAAGACTTATACACTGAAAATTATAAGACATTATTGAAAGAAATCAAAGGAGACATAAGGAAATTGAAAGATATTCTGTGCTCATGGATTGGAAGAATAAACATAGTTAAAATGTCCATATTACCTATAGCAATCTACAGATTTAGTGCAATCCAAATCAGAACCTCAATGATGTTCTTCACAGAAATAGAACAAAGAATCCAAAAATTTATATGGGACAACAAAAGACCCAAAATACCCGAAGCATCTCTGAGAAAAAAGAACAAAATTGGAGGTATCACACTCCCTGAATTAAAATATACTACAAAACAAATGTAATCAAAACAGCATGGTAGTAGCACAAACCAGGCACAGTGATCAATGGAACAGAATTGAGAGCCCAGAAATAAAACCACATATCTGTGGACAGCTAATCTTTGACAAAGGAGCCAGGAACATACAATAGAGAAAGGAAAATCTCTTCAATAAACGGTGGTAGGAAACCTGGACAGCCACATGCAAAAGAATGAAAGTAGACCATTGTCTTATACCATACATAAAAATTAACTCAAAATATATTAAAGACCTGAATGTAAGCCTGAAACCATAAAACTCCTAGAAGCAAACATAGGCAGTACGCTTTTTGACATCAGTCTTAGCAGTATCTTTTTGAAGACCTTGTCCACTCAGGCAAGAGAAACAAAAGAAAAAATAAACAAATGGTACTACGTCAGACTATAAAGCTTCTGCACAGCAAAGGAAACCATCAACAAATGAAAAGACAACACACCAACTGGGAGAAGATATTTGCAAATCATATATCCAATAAGAGGCTAATTTCCAAAATATATAAGGGACTCATACAACTCAACAACAAACAAACAAACAACCTGATCAAAAAATGAGCAGAAGATATGAACAGACATTTTTTCCAGAGAAGATATATAGATGGCCAACAGGCACATGAAACGATGTTCAACATCACTAATTCTGAGGGAAATGCAAATTAAAACTACAATGAGATATCACATCCATCAGAATGGTTATAATTAACAAGACAAGAAATAACAAGTGTTGGAGAGGATGTGGAGAAAAGGGAATGCTCATACACTGCTGGTGGGAATGCAAACTGGTGCAGCCACTATGGAAAACAGTAGGGAGATTTCTCAAAAAAACGAAAAACAGAACTACTGTACGATCCAGCTATCCCACTACTGGATATTTATCCAGAGAACTTGAAATCAACAATTCAAAGAGATATGTGTACCCCTATGTTCATTGCAGCATTATTCACAATAGCCAAGATGTGGAAGCAACCCAAGTGCCCATCAATGAACGATTGGATAAAGAAGATGTGGTGTATATATACAATGGAATACTACTCAGCCATAAGAAAGACAAAATCATGCCATTTGCGACAACATGGGTGGAACTTGAGGGTATTATGCTAAGTAAAATAAGACAGACAGAGAAAGACAAATACCATATGATTTCACTCATATGTGGAAGATAAACAACAAACAAACACATAGATAAGGAGAACAGATTGGTGGTTACCACAGGGCCGGGGATGGAAGGAGGGTGAAAAGGGTCAAGGGGCATGTATATATAGTAATGGATAAAAACTAGTCTATTGGTGGTTAACACGAAGTAGTCTATACAGAAACTGAAATATAATAATGCACACCTGAAATGTACACAGTGTTATAACCCAATATGACCTCAATAAAATAATTAAAAAAAAGAAAACAAATAATCCAATTAAAAAATGGACCAAAGATCTAAACAGCAAAGAACGTATACAGATGGCAGGTAAACATATGAAAAGATGCTCCACATCAATGTGAGAAGGGAAATGCAAATTAAAACAACAGTGAGGTACTACCGCACACCCATTGAAATAACCAAAATCTGGAACACTGACAACACTGAACGCTAGTGTGGATGTGGAGCGACAGGAACTCTCATTCATTGCTGGCAGGAATGTAAAATGGTAGTCACTTTGGAAGATGGTTTGGGAGTTTCTTAAACTAAACATACTCTTGCCGTAAATCCAGCAATTGTGCTCCTTGACATTTACCCAAAGGAGTTGAAAACTTATGTCCACTCACAAAGCTGCATTCAGATGTTTGTAGCAGCTTTATTCATACTTGCCAGAACTTGTAAGGAACCAACCAAGATGCCCTTCAGCAGATGAATGGAAGACAAATTGTGGTACCTCCAGACAATGGAATGTTATTCAGTGCTAAAAAGCAGTGAGCTATTAAGCCATGAAAAGACGTGGAGGAAAATTGAATGCGTATTGCTAAGTGAAAGGAGCCATCTGAAAGGGCTACGTACTGTATGATTCCAACTATAGCCTATTCTGGAAGAGGCAAAACTATGGAGACAGTAAAAAGATCAGTGGTTCCTAGGAGCTGGGATGGGGGAGGGTGAATAGGTGGAACACAGAGGATTTTAGGGCAATGAAAATACTCTGTATCATACTATAATGATGGATACATGTCGTTATACATTTGTCCAAACCCACAGAATATACAACACCAAGAGTGAACCGAAATGTAAACTATGGACTTTGGGTGATTATGATGTGTCAACGCAGGTTCATCAGTTGTAACAAATGGACCACTCTGGTGGGGGATGTTGGTAAGGTAACGGGGAAGGCTGTGCATGTATGGGGGCAGGAGAGATAGGGGACAGCTCTGTACCTTCTTCTCAATTTTGCTGTGAACCTAAAACTGCTCTAAAAGAATAAAATCTTTAAAAAAATTAGCGTGTCATGCGAAAGCAGTCATATTTCTTTTACTATGTGGCAATAATTTTCAGAAGAATTTTAGCTGAAGGGTAAGGAGAATTAGATTTTTCTCCTTTCTTTTGTCTTGCCAGTTTAGAGTCTAGTCTGTAATGCCAGAGGAGAGAATTAGGGCCAGTTGGTTGCAACTATACGGAGTCAGACTTGACTCAATAATAAGGTGAATGTCCTTTTATTTATTTTATTTTTTTTTTAACTCACAAGAAACACATGTTCATTATATAAATTTAAAAATACAGATACAAAACATAATAAAATAACTTTCTTACCCAATTTTTACTCCCCAGGGAATCTCTATTTAGCAGCTTTGGTTTATTTCCTTCTAGTGTTTTTCCATTCAAGAACTAGCCAGTTAAGACTTTTTAGAAGGGGCACTGTAAGATTATGCTGCATCCCCCTTCTCTGAACCATAGAACTAAAACTTTACATGCGTTTAAAAAACCAGAATAGCTTTTTCTTAGATTTTTCTGGTTGCAAAATTCTAGATAAGTTTGCTAATTTTCTTATGTTCTTGGTGCCCTAGCTATGCTGGTGTATTTGGCAAGTAAGTGTTTGGTTTGTCTGTCGGGGACCAAGGTCTGAGGGTTGGGTCCTTTCTCTGTGCCCCTCCTGTGGCTGAAGATGTTCAGAGTGAGCTGATGGTCCTTCCGGGCAGCGGCCAGGGGATTCCTACCATTGGGCTGACCGCAAAACTCCGATGTTAGTTTGCTGGGGCTGCCATAATGAAGTACTACACACCGGGTGGCTCAAACAACAATTTATTTTCTCACAGCTCCTGGGGATAGAAATCTGACTCAAGGTGTGCTCAGGGTTGGTTGCTGTTGAGGGCTGCTGGGGAGTATCTGGTCCAGGGCTCCCTCCTTGCTTGTGGATGGTTGTCTTCGTCTTCACACGGAGTTCTCCCTGTACGTGTGTCTGTGTCCAAATTTCTCCTTTTTTATAAGGACACCAGTCATCTTGGCTTAGGTGCCCACCCTACTCCAGTATGACCTCATCTTAACTGAAGCAATTACATCGGCAATGAAGCTATTTCCAAACAACGTCACATTCCAAGGTACTGGGGTTTAGGACTTCAACATATGAATTTTGGGGGGGACACAGTTCAACCCATAACAGCTCCCTTCCAGCTCTAAAATCTTTGATTCTGAGCCTTGAAGTACAACTCAGACTCAGTGCCTTGCATCATTTAGTTATTCTTTGTTCTCTTGTCAAGTGGGATGTCCACTTACTGCTAGTTAAGGCCTATGCATCTTTACGACTCTGGTTCTTGTGCAAATAGAAATCTATAGGCATAGCTGGCCACCCTGCTCTGGCTGAAGTCAGACTGGGCAACCACATCCAGGGCCACTACTCAGGAACAACATAGAAACTCTGAGTTCAGAATCTGTCAGAGGCCATTCTAAACTCGAAGTAAATTCTGTCTGTTGGTGCCAGGGTCCGTATGCCTTTTGACACCCTCAAAGAGGTCAACTAAATCAGTGAATTTGCGTTCTTCTTGATACCATGTGTTGCTTTGTATGATTCATAGAAAAAAATGTAATTTTATTGTAGGACTTAACCTTTCGGAAGTGTGCAGAGCTCAATCTTGCATATGTGCAGACTTTATCAAGCTACAATGAAATGATCATTGATAATGAGACCATGAAATTTGTTATTGTTGTGTACGGCAGTGTCATTGATACTAAGAGAGAAGTACCATATCTTGCACCTTGCATTTTACCTAAAACCTGTGGACAGGTAAGGAGGATCCTTTCTAAAGAGTGATTTGCTTTTCATGGTGCTCCAGAAGTGACTTTAAAACTCAACTGACCACCTTAAAAATAAATTTAACCTGTAAAGACCCTGCAGTTCTCACCCACCCTTGATAAAAAAGTCAAAACATAGCCACAGCTTCTGTGTACTGTTGCGCAGGTTGTGTCCTGCACAAGGGTGTGACCAAGGGGCAAGTAGGTGCTGGAACCTGCCTGCTCTCTGCTTACTAAGCTGTTTGCCTTGGTGTGAGGCTGTGTCTTCCCACAAGGACAGGGTGTGTCTTTTGTAGTTCACACCAAGGCAACACCTCCTACGCTAGTGGCTCTAGAAGTATCTGCATTGGTTGATAAGAAGGGAGTTGAGTAGGGGCCTGTTGCTTTGCTGCAACAGTAGGGGCTGGGGCACCCCATGATGGTGATCCCTGGGCCTTATCATTCCATGCCTCTGTAAGGAAGAGGGATGTGTGAACACTTGGGGCACAATGGGGTGGAAGAGCAGAAGCAAGGTCCCTAATGGGCCACCTGCCTGCCTGCCATTGAACCTCAGGGTGACGGAGGCAGAGCCAAGTTGGGGGAGGACCAAGAGGCCTGAGAAGAACTGACATCTCTCTAATCTGATAGTAAGTTTCTCCCCTTTGGAAGAGGCCCATTCTGCCCGTTCAGGCTGGGAAAGGTCATTAATTAAATGAAAAATTGATGAACCTCCTAAAAAGTTCATTTGCCCCTTTCATAACATTCTTATTTTCTATCTCTCAACAATTCAGAAGATAAAGGTTATTTAAATGCTTTTTGTTAATAGAAAATGAATATCTCTTTAGCTTTGAAGGGAGGGGTAGGGTGAGGCAGGGGACAATGGGAGCAACACCCACAGTTTAGTTTGTTAAGAAGCCAGATGTGGAGTTCAAAAGTCAGTTCAAAAGCTGACGCCTGTGCCCACTAGGTGTGTGAACCTAGGCAGGCTGCCTTCCGACCCCAGTTTCCTCATTAATAAGATGAGGACAGTAGCAACAGCCATCTCCTAAGGTTATTGTGAGGATTAAATGAGATAACACGTGGTATCTAGAAATGATAGTTATAATTGTTACTTGTATGCTATTTGCATTCTGGGAGGGCAGATTTTGTGGCACATAGGCCAAAAGCTCTAAGAAAAGAAGACAGTCCTGCCCCCGGGAAGGCTTGACCATCAAGGCAGGAGCAAAAGTACCTCTGGATGCAGGGGATTCCCTGTTTTCAAACTGGGAATTTCCAGTCTGGTTACAAGTAAGGTGTCGAAATTCCCTTTCTGATGTCTGTAAATACACAAAAGATAATTTGCTGGCCCAAGACTTTTTGAAGCAACATTAAAGAGGATTTGAAATGAAAAAGATAGAGCTTAGGTTGGAGGCCCAGTTCTAGGTGTTGGCTTATTTCTTATATTCTTTGGAAAGGTTAGAAAACAGTCATCTTAGAGATCAAAGAATGTTCTTTTGACTAATTTTGACTTTTCTGTTTAGGTTCAGGGAACTTCAGATTTAAGCAAGTTGCTGGTGATCCAAGCATCTGAGCCTGTCAAAAATAATAATAACGCCAAGGTCATGGGTAAGGGATAGCCTGTTAGTGGCAGGAAAACCATTGAGAAGGAATTTTGACACATGTAAAATTCCTTTAATTCTAAGAAAATGATTTGAGAGAATTGTGTGGGTTTATCATCAGTCCCCATCCTTGGGCTCCCCCTGGCTGCCACACAGCTTGTGGGAGGTCACAAAGACTTCCAGACACTGACATCCAGGTGGCTCATTCCTGTCTCATGTCCCTCCCTCCACACCTTTGCGAGGGGAGAACAGCTTCTATGGTGTACTCTGTTCCTGCCACATAGTGCTGTTGGGGTCAGAGCAGGAATGGGCAGGGCATAGACTCTCTCACCTCAGGCCCAGGTGTGGGGAGCTGGTTTGCTTCCAACAACAAAAGAGAATAGGGAACCTGACCCACGCTCACTGAGTATTCCAAACCAAGGTCACAGCCACACTCAAATGACTTGCTTTGAGGTGCACTTTGTAGTCACTAAGTAATGAAAGTCACTAAATATGTATTAGTACCCAATTGCATGTATCACGGGGCTAAGCGAGATACAGAGAAGACTTGCTCTAGAGAAAATGCATTCAAGGTCTTTCATTCAATGCTCAGCATCCCCAGCATCCCTGCCTTACCAAGCCCTGTCTCAGCTTTCTCCCAGCTGCCCCAGCTGCAAAACCAGAGTTATCCGTGATTTGTATCTCTAATTGGCACCATCCCAGTGTTTACAGTTCATGTGACCTGCTAGCTTAGACATGATATAATTCTTAATGAATTGCTAATTTGGGGGGAAGGGTTTACATGATTTCAAATTGTGCTTATAAAGTGACATTTTATTTTATTATTTCTCATTTGCATAATTATAAAAATGCAGCCCCACTGTGTGCTGGGAACTATGTCAAATGCTAGTTAGTGAGTGAGTCAAACAGGGTCTCTGCCCTGGTGCGGAGGAAAGACAGATATTCAGTAATTCATTCCACTTCTCCCCTAGAAATGAGTTCAACCTCAGACATTCTTATGGCTCACTTTCCCTGCCCTGTTCTAGGGTCATAGGCCTCGCGGTGATTTTGGGAGCTCCCGCTGCTCCCAGGTCTCCTGTCCAAGCTGGCTGACACTGAGATGAAGTCCCTCAGCCCTCACAGTCTCTTTAGGTCTGCCACTCTCCTGCTTCCACAGCACTCTTGGGCACAGGAGTCTATGGCAAGGCTGGGAGCTCAGGCCTCCTGTTAGCCGCCCTGGGGCACTGAGGGCTACTGAGTCAGAGATTTTCAGCACTTCCAGGACGAAGGGCACAGGTCTTTACTGTTCCTCTCTCCTCCCTCAGGCCCTCTGGAGTCATTTTTAGACGAAGGGAGACACATGACTCTGTATTCCCCAATGAGTTTGGGACAAAAGTCACAAACGGTAGGCTCATGGACTGGATCCAGCCAGTACACTAGATTTGACCCACACACATTTTCTTTTAAAATTGTAAAATTAGTTGCCAGGCATAAACTTTCAGAAGTTTCACACTTAAAAAAAAATCCAGATTTTGAGCTTTTCTTGAAAAAATCAGAAAGTCTTTCAACACTAGGTCCTCATTCCTTTATGTGGGGAAAATCAGACAGAGCTGAGCACCAACTGCCTTCTACAAGGGAAGAAGATGCTCTCTGGTTTGCTGGAGGCCACATTGCTCCCTCTTGTCTCATACAGCCCACTTTAACCATGCATGTGAACTGTCTGTTCTCGTTTGAGTCTGTCAGCCCTTGTACTGGACTTTTGGGAGCCTATTAACAAACCTCCTGAAGGAAGAAAGTAAAGAGCCCATTTGAAAGGGGAGACCCACAGAGAGAAAGCAAATTGATATTTCAAAATATTCTTCTGCTACTTTACTCTGAAACTCCTAATTTAGTTTTTCTGTTTGATGCCTGTATTTGGATTGGTTCAGTCAACACTGGTGTTCGAATGACCAAGAAAGAACATAACTGGAAAAGATGAGGTAATAAACTCAACACTTTGATTAGATTTTTATTACTGTGGATATTAAACTACACAGCTGAAATAAATTGTGAAGTCAAGTAGCAAAACGTCGGTGAGAAAAGAGACTGAGTGGCAACTCATTTATTTGGAAAAATTGGGATAAAGCACACCTGCATTACTTAAAAATTAAAATTATAGAATATTTTTGAAAGATATAATTTTGCCCCAAGTCTCCTCTCTCCCAATTTTCCCCTTCCTCACCTCCTTCCCCTGATGTTTAATTCAAAAGTAGGGATCTCTGGGAGTAGATGATGCATACAGCTGGACATTAGCATCTAAACATTGATGCTCCTCCCTTTGGAGTGTGCATTCCCTGTGGATGTCTGGGTGCTATGCTGGGAGTATGTGAAGCCACAGGTGGATCATGGGCATCTTCCTAGAGTATCAATGTTACCTGATGATCTTTCAAAGAGAGAAAACGCATTTAACCATGAGGTAATTTAAAATGTTTCTTTAAGTTAAAACACACATATTGTAGAGTAGGATAACAAATTTGCATGAATTTTTAAGATAAAACAAGAGATTTCAAAGCACTTTATTATGAAGAGTCAGTCAGGTTTTGCCCTGACATCTTTTCCTACTCTCCTCAGCAATCAAGGCTAATTTAGAAAAGTTTGAGAAGGCTGGAAGTCATACAGAGAGCAGGGGAGGGAAGAGGGGCCAGTTACGTTTGGTCAGGACACAGCAGAGGCAAGTCTGGTGGGGAGGGGGACCCTGCAAAGGGTCTCTGTTAGGCCTGAGTCCCCTGATGAGTGGAGTGGAGGAGGAAACAGCTCTGAAGGGGCAATGGGGCGCAAGGCAAATGCAGCAGTGGGTCAGGCAGCAGTGATGGCGCCAAGGATGGGCTTCAGAGCCCTTCAGCACCCTCCCTCCCCCAGCGCCCGTCACCCCAGAGAAATTGGCCTTCTAAGGTCAAATGATATGCTGTATAAGTGCGGCTTCAAGAGAAGTCCCTTGCCCCACCATATCCCCAGACAGATAGTCACCCTAAGACCCTTCCAACAGAAATTCTGGTCCCGCCGCTGTCATTTATGACAATCAAGGTGGTTTGCAGTGTGTTTGTTGTGGGAAGGAAAGTTTCATTGACCAAACTTATGGGTAAACGTTCCTTTAAACACAGCAACTTAGTCCTTTTTAGGCAGCCTTCCTAGGATCTTCTTCTCCTCTTTCTTAAATGGACCCTATTTCAAATGGGAAACCTAACTGAGAGTCAAGAAATTGGTTCCTCATTTGTCACTGTCTTTTCCAGGTCCCATTATTAAAAAAAATTCTTATTCTGATTTATGAAAAAGGCTTTCGGTTACCTTGCAATCAGTCACAAAGTTATCTAGAGTTCAAGTCTCCTAACATTTCTCTTTTCCTAAGTGCCCCTTTGGTAGACTACTCGAATTGAATTAATGTCAAGAGATGACGTTTGATGGTGCAGAGAGGCACATGTATTTACTTATAATGTATCATCCAAAGGTCTTAATGTGTAAGATCTCTTAGAGGGAATGTCCCAGATAATAAAATGGAAACTTTTCCGTAAGTTTTCTGGTTGCATTTAATAGTTAATGTTTTCCCTGACATGCTCATAGTCTAATATTTTACTTTTGACTTTCTTTTATAGTTGGAAATTGAATCCCATCTCACAAAAGGATACTAATGGCACTAACATGATATGTGGAGTCAGGTTAAAGACTGAGCTAATATCCCAGCTCAAGTGCTGAAGAATGATCTGGCAAGAAGTTTACTTAGAAGTTGCTGAAACAATTTACTGCTGCATTTATTTTACAAGCAGTTGATGGACTGCTGCAAATTGTTCAATTTGAAGTAGTTGCGTTATACTTGAGATGTTAAAAAGTTCTTCCAGATAATATATCCTAAAACTCATGGCCTACCAAATGAAATTCTGTGTCCAGCTGAGAGCCAGTTATAGCAGAGTACAAGTTATCAAAAGCATTGTACAATTTATTACCGTCTAGAGCATAGGATCCATAATTCTGACTTATGATAGTGCTATAATTAGTACCTCCCTAACATTTTCCAGAGTAAAGTTATTCCCCTCCCATTCCCAATTTAGTAAGTATTGAAAAAAGGAACTATGTTCCACAATCGTAGTTACTGAAAGCCGTTTTAAGAGAAATTAACAATCCTACATTGCATAGTACTATTTGATAGTACTTTTCATTTTATTTTCAAAAGTCAAATAAAGTTGAATGTTATGGTCTTATTGTTTATTATTTAGAATCCATTGTTCCTTTTCATCCCAACAAGACTTTGAAAGAATACATGATTCTCTACACTAGGGAAAACCAACCATAACAGAGGTAATAATGGAAGGAAATACAAGAGAGTAAGTCAAGCCTATTTATGAAGAACCTTCTGGATACCTAGTGTAATAGGGCAGTATTTCTCAGAGTGGCCTGCAGAGCACCTGTGTGAGCAAATATCGAGTGAGGCTGCACATTACAGAAACCCGGCCACCATGGCAGAACCACATAGGGCCTCAGTTTCCTGATGTCACAAGATGTCTGGAATAGAACAGGACCGGTGCAGCTGCTTGAGGAAATTATCACGGATCCAGGCTCCTTGTAGCTCCCTTCTCCTTCCTCATTGGCCGGTGACTTTTACCCTCACGGTGGCAAAGTGACATCTGTAACTCCAGGCATCCCATCTGCTTTTCAGTAGGGCAAGGAGCTTTCTCTTTATGAGGCTCGGCCTTTCATCAGGAAGGGACCCCACGCCAGGCCAGCACTGTCACATGGCCACACCCATCTATCATCTTAAGATGAATTTTAACTGGCATTTCACCTTGCCACCCTTAATACAGCCTGTGTGTTGTAGTAAAGAATGAGGGGGAGATGGATAATGGGTGAGCACCTGCAGTGTCTGCTGTACTCTGCATCAGAATCACCTGAGCTGCTGGAAATGAAGAATTTCTGGCTACCTACAGAGGGAATCTCTGGGATAGGCCTCTCGGCTCTGTATTTTAACACGCTCCTCCCATGATTTCATGCATAATGAAGCTTGAGATCCACAAGTATAGAGGATAAGGAAGTGGCAGAAACAGATGTCTGCTCTACAATCTTGCTTAGGAGACATATACCATATATTGGAAACAACCAGAGGACAATACTTCATTCCATGAGTATCAGTTCGGATGCGTTTGGCCTCAGGTACTAGAAAACCCAAGTCAAAAAGGCTTAAACACTAAGGAAATCTATTTTTTTTAATGTAATCTAAGTCAAGAGGTAGTATGGGTTCCTGGTTGGTGCCCAGTGAAGATGAAGGCTCAGATTCTTTTTCCTCTCCCCTCTGTTGTTGACTTTATAGCCTCATTCTATAGCAGGTTCCCCACTCCCGGGTTGTCAAGACGCTGCAAGCAGCAATCAGTGCTTTATGTTTTCTTGTTCACATTCAGTGCAAGACCAAAAAAGGCTTCCAATTGCTCTCAAGTGAGAAAGAATTCTTCTAGAAACTCCAATAATCCTCTATTTGTGTCTCATCCCCAAGAATTGAATTACATGCCCATTTCTGAACTAAACACTGACAAGGTGGCGATGACCTTTTAACCAGTTAATGCATTTTTTATGCTAGAGGTATTTCCTCAATTTGCATTGCCCCAAAGGGGTGGGGGCAATTGGAGTAAATCACTATGCAGTTAACTGCCCCCAGTCATGAGCATTTTGGCGCTTTAGAAGCAGCCATGCTGGCTCCTTCCGCTTGGACGAGCTTCGCCTCAATGCAGATCCTACCCTTAGGGTGAAGGTTGGATGTGAGATCAGAGTTGTGGCAAGAAGACCATACAGGAGCCACAAGTTTATCACTTTGCTAATCTTGGAAGACTATCTATTCTAGCCAAAGCATTTGCTGATTCTTTGAGCAGCCGCAGGGAGTGCCTCTCAAATTCCTTGTTTCTCATAGCCACAATGGTCATATATTAATTCACTTTCAATTAACACATCTTTGGAGGTACAATGCATTTTTTCTGTTCTCCCTATGAAAATTGACAGCAACAATTCTTGATAGGGGAACTCTAGTCTCCAAGCCCAATAGTGTATCAAGATGTATTTAGGATCACTTCTACCCTGGAAATGCAGATTCATTACATGATAGTCTATACTTGGAAAAGAATACTTGCACAAAGTCTCATGGCTGCTTCGTGATAGAGCCAGAACCCAACCTGAGGCTATGTGACCACCTTTTCTTTGAGCTTTTTCAGTGTTTTTATAGCGACATCATCTGTGTGGGTAGAGTAGATGTAGCCAAATAAAACAACAAGTTTTGGGTGCCTGAGTGAGTGAGGCAGGTTTACTGGGGGAAAAGTTGATGAATTTGATTCTGAATTTGCAAATTCAATGGCAAATGTTCCATCGGTCAGTAAAGATATGACTCAAGTTTGAATAATTAATGCTGGAGATTTAGACTTCGGACTTCGAACTGTTACTATAAAAGAAAGCTGAAGCCAGACTCTCCAAGAAAGACTAAAGACAAGTAGCAAAAGGAAGGGAAGAGAGCAGTGAGGAACCCAACAGTTAGCGAGGGGATGGGAGCCAGGAGCCAGGGCTTAGTCAGAAGAGACATGCCTAAGAATTAGTCCTTTAAGGGCAAAATACTGTGACTCAGAGAGGACGTGAAGGCAAGACCAGGCCCCTTAGGTCTCTTTCAGACCAGCACTCCCCTGGATATTGTATAACTTGGAATTTCCACCTACATTCTCAACCTTTTTAGTGTCTCTCAAATTTTACATGTGGAGAAATCAAGGAAACTAAAGGCATAATAACTTGCCTAACACATGGCACCAGGGGCTACATTTTACATTATTGTACTCAATAAAAATACAGAGGGCTACATGTAAGAGATTACACCAGGTATGGGACACTTCTTTCTAAACCTAGGACTTACTAGCACAGTATAATAAGTCTTGAGAGACCACGAGTTCAGAGTGACCAGCACTCTTTCCAGAAAGCAGACCTGTACCCTTATCCTCAAGATTCAGATTCTTAAACCCAGCAATCCCACTAAGGCATTAGGTCAGGAGAGCTCTTTACAGCAGGGATCAAACTCAAGGGCCTATAGGACCCAGGCAAGTAACAGGAAGGAGAAAACTGGGCTGAGATGTGGTGAAATCATAGGTCCATCCATTTTCCATTTCATCCAACCATGCAAATGCTCCTCCATTTTCATAACATGGAATTTTATATATCCACCTTTGGAGAAAAGTGCCAACGCCAATCCTAGTAAGGACACCTCTGCCCTCAGGACACAAGTCTAAACTAGTACTTCACAATGTGACAAGAGACTTCTCTGATCCAGTTTTAACAAAGGATTTATTTAGCGATCCCCCAAAAGCAAAATTCAGAAAATAACCCCCCTCACTGCAAGAACAGTTCTATAATAAAACATTGTCAGTCCTCCTCGCCTCTCCCCAGGGCGTGCCCCTTCCCTGTGCACATCAGCAGAGAGCAGCCTGACCTGGGAAATACCGTGTGAAAGGCAGTGTCATATTGCTGGCACCTTCTGGTTCACCTCCCTAGCAGACACATGGAGCCTTTTCTGCAGCCTCCCTCTTTGGATAAAAAATTATTGAAAAATTTTCTTTATAGCAAAATTTTTCAAGACCTCCCCACTCCCAACTTCAGTTATCTCCTGGAAAAGTTCAGAATTGAAGTTTTTTCCCCAGCGGTGATTAAAACACTGAATACTGAAAATCAATTGCGTTACTCTAAGTTCCTGAATTATATACCTAGTCATCTACAGAAGAAGTTGAACCTCAAGTTCCGTTGCTCCCCAAAACGGGTAACAGAAGAGAGGATTTGATGAGAACAGCTGAAAAATTTATAACCATTCTATGATGGAGCAAAGCAGGCTTTTTCAACCTCGCTGACTGTACCCTGCAGAGATCCAACAGATTTGAGTCTCAGATATAGAATATATTTCAGAGAGAGACAGCAGAGTGCTAAGATATATGAACAGAATAGAATGCTGGTGGAGGCACAGAGTAAAGAATCCCAAGAAACTTTTAGTGCCATTTTCATTTAATAAGCCAGCAGTAGAGCAACCTTAAGACCTCAGCTGTGATCGCACCAGGATGTTTTTATGAAATTGCTCAGGAGAACAGGACTGGCAGCTGAGATCCTCCGGCTCACTGTGCTAAGCGAGCAGCTCCAGCCCCAGCTCCTTGCAGAGACCTATGGCTGTGGGGTGTAGCGGAGGTATTTTTTGCCAGATGGGAGCTCTTTGGTGAAGACTCCTTTAGGGAAAAGTTTTTTGGCTTCCTCTTCAGGGATGGTTGGAAGGACCATCACGCTATCTCCATCCTATGGAAAGACATTGAGAATGGTGAAATTCAATCTTTCAGTGAAGCCTAAACGCAAGGAGTAACTTTAGCAAAGTAGCTCTAGGTGCTAAGGAGAATAATCAAGTATTCTTTAACCTCTCCCCTCCGAGGAGTTTTGTTTTCACAACTTGATCTTTGACACTTCAGTGAGGGAAGTACTTCCCCATCTTAATAAGAAATAGTCCTATTTTAAACCCAGTAACGACTTGCCACCACACTTTTTAAAATTGTAATTCTAAGCCCTTCCCATGGGCTGTGAGGCCCTGCAGGACTGAATCCTGCTTCCTCTCTCATCCCTGGTCCCCCAGCCCAGCTCCTGCTGCTGCTTTTCCAGGCGCTGGCTCTCCTTCTCTCCCTCCAACACACCACGCTCACTTTTAGGTAAAGCCCCTTAACTGCTCCTTCTGCCTACGTGCTGTGCTCTTCCTTCACAAACATGCAGGACTTGGTCCCTTGCTTTCTTCATGTCGTTCCCCAAGGTTCCCTAAGAGAAAAGGCTTCCTCAACAATCCCTCCCACTGCTGTGCATCCATTCTCCCCACCTCTGCTTGATTATTCTGTCGCCAACTAATATGGTATGAACTGGCTTCCTGTTTGTCTCTACCCACTGGAATGTAAGCTCTGTGAGGGGAGGGACTTTGTATCATTCACTGCTATACCCTTTCACAGTGCCCAGTGTCTGGGCTCAATAAACATATGTTTAATGAGTGGATACAGAATTTAAGTGATTTGCCTGTCAGAAAAAACAAAGGTACAAAACGTGGTATTCAGGTTTTGTATTTTAAAAATGTAGCAACATTAAGATACTCTTGTGATATTATCCATGTCGGACATATTATAGAAGTCTTAGAGATTCAGTTTATGAATAAGTTCCAGAGAATTCTAC